ATTTCACCTCAAAGGGTGAAAGATGGGCGAGATATTACGAACTTACTTTTGAGAATAACACTGGATCAGAACTAACGAGTTTAATATTGGCTAGTAAGCCATAAAGTAGAGCGTAATGGAATAAAACGCAACTATGCGGGTGGAAAATGGGTGAAAAACTTGAAATGTTGACATCTAGAGAGCTGCTTAAAATCTGCAATCAACCTATTTAATTGCCTTTAAATACGCACCTCATTTGTACTGGAAACTGTGTTTGTAAGGTTCTTTAAAATCTCCTCATCCTTGAGCTGTTCAATTGTTTGCGGCTCCGCTTCCTGCGACAGTTGCTGCTCCAGCTGGCAGCCATTTGGCTCTACGGAATTTAACGCCTCGGGGGCGTGGCTGCCACAACGCTTCACCTTGGGCGCCTTCTCGGCGGCGCAGTTGCAGCTGTCGGTGTCAGCGCCACAGCAGCAGACCAGCTCATTGCTGAACGAGGCGCGTTTGGAGTCTCGTGGCGTCTGGCCGGGACTGGGCACAGCGGGCAACAGAAGCCCGAATCCATTGAGCTCCTGCAGTTCCGTCTGGTCCACGCCGGAACGCAACGATTCTGCAATTGTAGAGTGAAAATTGACGAGTTAGTTGAATGTGTGGGATTATAATATTTGAATATACAATTGGATTAGGCAAGAGTCAGTGAAAGTTGCGGCTCATCAAATGACAACAAAATAAAAGCAAAAAACAAAACAAATGCCTGATGATAATCATAATAATGATGAGCTAATGATGAGTCAGTTCAGCTCGGTTCAGTTCAGTACGGTTCAGTCATTTGCAGATGAGTAATTGCTGTGGCTCACAGAAACCACAAGAAATTGCCTGGGATCAAAGACAGGCAGACATAAATCTCAATGACAACAACAGCTATGAAAATTAAGAGAAAAAAAAAGCGAAAGCAAACATGTCTTCATCAATTACGCAGATTATAGAGGTGTAAGTGCGACGGCCACGCCCACAATAGCTGATAGACACCTGAGGTCAGAGGCCTAGAGACAACAGCCAAAAGCCTCATCAATAACACAAGACACAAGAAGTTGAGTGGAGTGAAAGAGAGATCTCTCTCCTCCAGACATCAGAGTAAGATTGAGATAGAGAGAGAAAAAGAGTCGAGCTTTAGACTAAGATAGAGAAAGAAGGAGAAAGAGATTCAGAGAGTTGAGCCAACTCCATGAACAATTCATCTTGACAGCGATCCTCTGTCTGTCTTCGCTACAGTCTTTACTCTACACACAGACCACGCCTCGCTCCCGCCCCACTCTGCCACCTCCTCTCTCTCTCTCTCCTGCCTAGCTGTAATTTCTACAATTTCCCTACAAGCACGCGCCATACACATTGCCTTTGGCCATGTTCCCGCATCAATTTATGGCTAAGTGCCATACAAAATTGTCAACGCTAACCAGTACAACCTGTACCACACACACACCACACTGTGCACACTCTCTGCACGTCTGCTGTTTTTCGCTTCCTTGTAAATCAATTTCCTCAACGTAAATTGTTCATATTTTATCAATTGATTTATGAAAATAATTTCTTAATTTGAAAATTGATTTTTGTGCTTGTGAATGTTGGAGGTAAAAAAAAATAACAATAATTGCTTAAATATTTGAGTTGCAATTTTCGTAGCTAACAACAATTTTTATTACTTTTACTGTTGAAAAATATTCGGCATATTACCACAAACAAAAATTTGTATTAATTTGTTTTAAAATGTTTAAAAATCCCATTTAATAATTTTTCGGCTGAACAAATTACCTATTTTCTTATTTTTGATGCTTAACAAAAAGCAATAGGGGTATTACCTTATCGAAAATATATATAGGAACTTGGTTGTATTATTACAGAAAATCTCTCAATTTGATTAGGTATTATATGCACTTTAAATATATATTAAAACCATTTTTGTATGCACTTTAAATATATATTAAAACTATTTTTTTTTTGTCAATTACTGGAATACCTCTAATATGTGAAAGCGATAAAAAGAGCCCATAAAACAAAAGAACAATTAGTTACATATTATTGGAAGCATTAATTAGAGGAATATTCCATAAAAAAGTACAATAGATAAACAGTTGGTTAAATATTACTTTAGCAAGCATTAATTAAAGGAATACCCCTTATAAAATGTTGCCTTCATTAGCAGCTCAACTAAATGGACTAGACCTAAATGTTAGCTATATTTTACCACGCAGCTTCCTTCGGCTAGCTTCAGTTCAGTTACTTTTCTCAAGATAAATGTATACTCTATAAGTTTTATAGCCCCATGCTTGATCAGAGACCTGTCTATAAATTACCTGACCCAGGTGAGCGCAGAGAAAAAAAAGCAGAGTGAAAAAGGCAGCATTAAACCAATTACTCAAAGTGGCTGTCGATGAGGCGACGACAGTTGGCCAATTAAATGGAACTGGACAACGACTTAAGCCGATAAACAAGCCAAAAGAAAACTAAAAAGCGAAGCGGGGCGAAAACTGTTGACAGTCAGTGTGTTGGGTGTGCACTTAGATGCGATGATAGCTGACCATAAAAAGATGTATATATTAATACAGCTTAAGATAGAGAGGTGCGGCATATTAATAACATATTTTGTTATTAAATAACAGATAGTTTATGTTTTTATAGAATTTCCTGCGAGTCACAGTCAGTTTACCAGATGTCTCCCTTGGCAATTAACCTTCGACAAATGGCACACCTGATGTGAAAGTCGCAAGTCGTGAATCGCAAGTTGCAAGTCGCGAGTCGCGAGTCGCACTTCAATGACAGACGACGCTTTGTGCACATTGTTTTGCTTGGCTGTGGCACACGACGGGCTCGTTTTGGTATTCCAAAATTCTGGATGGTCAATTAGGCAATTAAACGGCATTAGTTACACGGCATTTTTGATTGCCGAAGGCCATCATGTATATATTTGCCATGACACTGACTGGACGCGACTGAGTCTCTTCTGAGCCAGTGCGTGCAAGAATTTTGCGGCATTTTCCGTTCTCACGGATCAAGTCGCTGACAGGATCGCATTGGGCGGCAAATGCCCGCTGCGCGAATGGGCATTTGTGCATTTTATGGCCAGCTAACCGACCACCTCAGTAGTTATTCGCCTGAAAATGTGGCAACAAGTTTCTTTCGTTTTTTTTTTTTGCATTCACTGTGCTCTTTTATGACTCGAGGGAAATACCCAACAGCGCCTGTTTCATTCACAATTTCTTCTTTTCTTTTTTTTTTGTGGTGTGTGTGAAAAGTTCTGCCTGTGTGTGGGCGGACTTTCCCAAGATCTTGCGTTTAGCTACAAATCAGTCCAAGTGGGTTTTCAGTGCGAAACATTTGGGATATAGCGAAAGGATAATGCAAGGGACGAATACGAAAGACAATCTTTTCGAATTTTGATAGTACTTCTCAAACATTTAACGTAATCTTTATAGAGCCCAGAATATCTTTAATAATATCATCTAATTGAAGCTTTCGAAGTCTAAAGACAGACTTTGTATAAAATCAGATTACATTTTATTCCTTTTTATTCAAAGGTTCTAGCTTGTAGATAAATACTGTACATAAATCACGTGATCTGAGCCCTAAATTACAATTAACGAACCCACTAAACTGTCTTGAGTTCCAAGAGGACTCAAGCTATTATATTAAATATATTTTGGCGATGATAAAAAACACACCATATCAATTAAGCTATATATCCCAATGCTATTCCATTCACATTCTATTCCATTCTGTGCGTTTGGTCAGCCAAGCTCATAATGAGGGTTTTTTTGGTTTATTTTGTTTGCAGGGTTCAGTTTTCAGCTAGAAATCAACATGTGTCAACGCCTGCTGTCACGCATCACACTGTGCGGCACCGTGGGCTGATGCTTAGCTGTGTGGCAGGCAGAGGCTGACCAACACACACACACACACACTCGCACACACACAGAGACACAAAAATAATTGAAATTCCAAAATAACTTATTTGGCATTAGAGGCAGCCGCTTGAGTGACTGAACTTCATGATGTATTCACATGCGCATTCACATATGCCGCATTCGCATTCGCGCTCGCTTTTCGCATTCGCATTTGTTGCTTTGGCCACATTTGGAAAATGCAACCTGTCTTGGCCCATGGCGACCCACAAAAGTGCAACAACAATAAAAACTAGTCATTGCCTGTAATTAAAAGGCAGCTAGCAAAACAAGAGGCTGGAAAAACGAAGCACACCAAAAGCTTTAAATGAAAATTTGAAAACCAACAAAATGGCAAATTGGCATTTCAATTAGCTGCGTTTCGAAAACCGAAACTCACTTGAAAACTCAACGTCAGATTTCTGTTTAGTTTCCAGTAATAGATGGGTGGAGAGGGGGGGGGGGGGGGGGTGTCTGACAGTCAGCCTTTCAGAAGGGGGAGAGTGGCCGTTGGGTCTAGGTTTATTGCCCCGTCCAGTAGTCAGTTTATTTGCTGCGTTTTAATGTTTTAATTGCAATTTAACTGCCAAGTGTTTAGTGCAAATGACAGAGAGAGAGAGAGAGAGAGAGAGGGGTAAACGAAGCCTGAGAGAGAGAGAGAGAGAGAGAGAGAGAGAGAGAGAGGGAGAGAGTGGGCACAATTTAACAGTCGCCCATTTGAGCAGTCGCGGCATTTACTGTGGGCGTCAACAACGAAATACTCAAGTGGAATTAATACAAATTGCTTGAAAGAAAATGCGCAAACTGTGTAATAATATAATAGATATACATATATATATACTTTGCTTATGTGTATACAACACAATCTGCAGTTGGGAAATCTTAATTTGAGGCTTTAAATACGATAAATATGTGTATAAGCATAGCTGACATCATGATCTTTAAGTTGTCAAGTTTGTATAATTGAGAAAATCGCCTGTTTGCATTGCTTTTGCGAAATTTCTATTTTGATTTCCAGTTTGGGTGTTGCCACATCGCGAAAAATCATGTTATCTTAAATGGTTGACAGCTGTCACAAGTGCAGCTCGTAGCTGCCAGCTTCTGTCTGGCAGCGCTTATGCACAAACCGATAATTGTTATGTTGTCAACTGTTGTTGCTGCTCAACACTGCTGACGTTGCATCTCTTTGATCCAGCACTTTTAAGTACTCAATTTCTATGCTGCTCAACACTGTTCTTACGCGTGTTTCTTTAATTAAACTCAACACTGCTTAAATCAAGGACATGCACAAGTTAATCTTTAGGCACACAATTTTCAACTCCAACCTACTTTTACCCCACTACTTAACACTACTTTCGGGCGTTCGCAACACTATGCTGCTGCTTGTTTATATATTCTCCAAAGTAGAACGGAAATGAAAATGAATTTGTGTACATTAATATCAATTCACCCAAGAACTGGGCCTTTACAAAGCAATTAAGCAAGGAAAATTCTACAAAGCGTTTTCTCCGGGCAAACAAAGAACATTTTCATTGGAAAAACTGCCACAGAAATTGGCATAAAAAATTGTAAACTCTGTATTTTGCGTGCTAAATAAATTGTGCGTATTGTTTTTTATTCCTTTATGTAAAAATAGAAATCGAAGCAAGTTTATAAACAATTTGCAGTTGTAAACAGCGCGATAGAATGGCAGAAAGAAACCAATTAAAGTGACCGCAGAGCGGAAGAAGTTGTCAGTTATTGAAATAATAAAAAGAAATACCCGACGAAAGACATTCAGTGAAAGAAACGTCTGCTGAATGCCAATCAGAAAGATGAACATAGCCCTAAATGACAGGGTCTAGAGACAAGCGCATGAGCGAGTCTTTTGAGCTATTGATGATTGACTGGCACAGCTGGTTAACTTACAGCAGAGAGAAGCGTTTTGTTGTTAAGTTCTCTTTTCCCAGTATTACATTTTGAAATAGTTTTACAGCACTGGACGTGGCGCACTTCAAGGTCGCGATACCCCGCCCAAACGCAAAACAAATTGAAAGAAAAATCCACGCGTCACATTCTTTCATTTTTTTTTTTAATCTCTTATTTTTTTTGTTTTGGCACAAGTTCTAATGCTTATTTTTAGATAAGTTGGGGAACGCGCCTTTGCCCTGTTTGTGCGCCGTCTTCACTCTATTTGGCACAATAAACCAGTCGAAACGAATTTGAGCCAAACACAAATACAATATTTACCAATTAATCACGAAAAGCGAACGCATTACATGGATTCGGCGAGTGTGTCACAAGGGAACTGTTCATAATTTCATTATGGAGAGAGGGCATATACCATATATTATATCATCTGGTAAGCATATGTTTATATACGGGGCATATAATAATATATATTATTTTTGCGGTTGGCAGCCCACAAAAAGGCGACTGTTGTATATAAAATATGATGAATAATGCAAAATTGAAAAAACACGAAGAGTGCAAAATTTTAAGACATAATGGAGGAGAGTGTTATGCTCTAGAAAAGAGATATTTACTAATAAAAAAAAGTTAGAAAACAAAAAAAGTTGTTGAATTTCAATTTTAATCAAGTTAAGTTCTTTTTTAAACGATGGTTTTTTTCTTTTTTATCAATATTTCAAATGTTTTTGAATAAAATTATTATAAATATTTTAGATTTAATCGAGAAAAAACCGAAATGCAGAGCAAAGAATTCTCAAAAACTTTTGTTAATAGTAGTAAGAAATAAAAATAATAATTAACATTTGTAGCTCAAATTCTTTCCATCTTTATTTTGATTTAACTTTTTTGATTGTTCATAGATAACAATATATATTTACCCGAGTTTCTAGTAAAAAATATGCCTAATAGAATACTGACTAATTTAATAAACAGGCTAAACATATTAACCTATGAATATGTTTTGAAGAACATTTACTAAAAACACGTAAAATTCAACATCAATTACAAATTGAAAGCTTTTCTTTACAACAGACTATTCACAAGAAAAATTATTGGAAAAACAACAATAAAACGTATTTATGTATTTCCTGTGATCTTACGCATAGAAATACCCATAAAACCCCATTTGTTTTATAGAGTATGCATGCTAATGCAAAAATAATGTTTTAATGTAGGCATAAATACCCATATATTATAGCTATATGCTGGGCATTAGTATGTACATATGTATATATATATACTAGCTTGTCATTTGTTTATTCTGTGGCCAGCTCTAGGTCAGACCTCATAATGCTTGTATGTTTTGCTCTGGGAATTTGCTTTTAATGCCAGACTCTTATTTATTATGCACAATATTTGCTTGTAGATCTTGCGTGGCGCGAATTCGATAGGTTTTTCGATATGTTTCGTTAGGTTTGAAACTCACCGCCAATGCCCTCGTCCTCAACATTTTCATAATCACAGTTAACGAAATTTGTTGTTGCTGTCGCAGGCTCACACATTTTCACAGCGCGTCAATACTTCACATTCGATAATAAGCATAACGATAACGATAACGATTACAAACACAAAACATTCACTTCAATTGTGCAAAGTTTTGCACCTTTTTTGCACATTTTTGTTGCAGTACATTTCGCGACGCCTTTTTGTTGTTGGTCAGTCGACGAGCAAACGACAACTGAGCAAAACAAACGCTAAATGAATTTGCCAAATGCGCCGATCGCAACAACAGCAACAACAGCAACAACAACAACAACAACAACAACAACAACTGTTCTAAACATAAACTGTTAATGAATTTCAATACGAAAATAAAGAGGCGCGCGCATTGGACATTTCGCTTGGCCGGTTGCCGTCCGCTAATTGCGGCACACGAACTCACCACAGTGCGTAGCTGCGGCTAAGTGTGGTGTGTGTGTGCGTGTGTGTTGAATATGCGATCGTTGAGTTTTCATATTTTCGTTAATATATGCCTTGTCGTCGTTCGTGCTGTGCATGCACAAAAAGTATGCGCCTGATTAGCAGAGAGTGTGACGTCAGCTCTTCAAGAGAGAGGGAGAGAGAGCGAAAGAGAGAAAGAGAGAGTAGCCTGGTCACAATTGCAGTTGACAAGTGTTTATTCGGTGCGTTCACTGGGTCACTTAATAGCTTAAGCAGCGCGAGCGGCGCGGTTTGAACGCAATCTTAATTAATTTAATCTGACACTATGCTGCACAGTGGTTCAATACCAGTCAAAACTTGGCAGAAAACTTTTTTAGGTTAAAAACGAATTTGAAAAGGAAAAATATTCGCAAACAGTAAATGACAAAGGAGCTTAAGCTCTTCAACTAAAAAGCAAACAATATAGAAAGTTTCTTAAGGTAAAATCAAAACATGATTTAACTAACATTTAAGTGATTATCAACAAATATTCGTTAATTATATATTAGATGAAAGTATAAATAATCATGAAATAAATCATTTAATAAAAACAACATTTAATAATGAATATGTTATATATGCGACTAAATTAAAAGGGCCCCCAAATGAATCACTGTGAACCACTGTGCAGCGACTGCCCTATGGGTACAATTTGTTTGCCAAAATCAGGCAATAGACTGGCGTCTAATTAATGAGTGCGACATAAATCAAAATTTAATCGCCCCAAATCATGGCAGAAGCAATCCGCAGCTGTTGTCGGACCCCAAATGGGGTCTACGCGTAGGCGTCAAGTGTTAAGTTTAAATTGACTCTGCCACGCAACAACAACAACAACAACACACACACACACACACATGGAGGCTTGGCCTACTGAACTTGTCAACAAGTGTTAATTGCGACGACGATAAAATATATAAAAAACAAATTGAAAAGCCCAACGCGACGTCAAGGGCCGAGTGCGTAAATCAATGGCAGAAAGTTGGCCTACAAAGTTGGCTAGCCAATATATATATATATATATATATGCCAAAATAGAAGGGAAAACTATAAAATAGTAAACTGAACTAAAAAAAAAAAAAGTAACCAACAGCCCGCAGTTGGGAGTTAAGAGTTGGCAGCGAAGCGCGAACAACAAAAGCTCACAATTGCCATAACTCCACAAATCCAGTAAAAAAAACAAATAAAAAACAAATAAAAACAAAACTCCCGCCGAGTGAATGTGGAGAAAATAGCGTCAGGAAATGAACTAATTAATTCGCATGGCCAACTATAAAGTCATGAAGGAAAACAAACTTGGCCTATTATGTGCGAATTTTGGTAACAAAGTGAAAGACGTATCCGAAAAAAACAGTGTAAAATCAAAAAAAAAATGCATAACAATTAGCGAGCCTATAAATGTAAATATAATTATAATAAAATGCTAAAAAACTGCCATATTTTAATTATAATTAAATTATAGAAAATTATATAAACTTATAAAAAAAGATAGGTATAACTTTTAATATATATCATTTTAAAATTTGTTTAGTATGATTAAAATTTTAATTTAATAATATCCTGATAACCAAATCGAATTTGTTAAGGAAGAAGAACAGAAGAAACTATATACGATATAGTATTTCGATTGTGCTAAGTTTGAGTAAGATATCTTGGGAATCAAAAAAGATTACCATACAAGCGTTATCTGTACACAAATTTAAATTTGCAACAGATTCTATTCTAGAGCCATATAATAAAGAAATGCCAAATTGATCGAGTTAGGATAAAGAGCATTTTAATGTCCTCCAAAAGTAGCTTTACCTCGAGCTAAAAAGCCACATTAAAAGATCATATAATGCACATTTAAATAATATGTATAAACAAGTAAGAGGTTCTAGTCGGGAGCTCCCGACTAGGGAATACCCTGAACCCTCTTCCTCCAACATCAAATGCATAATATATTCTATTTTAGAAGCTATATGTCAAGTTTGGTGACTCTAGCTCTTATTATTTACCAAAATTTCCCAAAAAACAGGATATCGATATCGATTTTTATCGATTGCTTGGAAACGGAGTGAGTTATCGATTATCGGAAACAAACTCGATCTGCGCGGGAACTAGGAGCACCTACATCGCTAGCTTTTATAGCTTCTGAGATCCTTGCGCTCATACATAGGGACAGACGGACATGGCTAGATCGACTCACCTATTTATGCTGATCAAGAATATATATACTTTATGGGGTCGGAGTTGCTTCCTTCTGCCTGTTACATACATTTGGCTTTCGCACAAATACAATATACCCTTATGCCTATTTTTAATGGGTTCAGGGTATAAAAACCTTTTACTTTAGACAAAATCGAATTAAATTTGATGCAGCTCATGAATTTGAATATGAAATGTGACGCCTCGATTTGTCGCACTTGGCGAAAATCTTGCACAATCACTAAAATCGATTAAGAGCTGGCATATGCCACACGCAGTTGCAAACAATGTGGCACACTCCTTTCTTTTGTTGCACAGTTTAACAGGCACACGACCTTAATTATGGCCTGGCAAAAAAATGGCTGGCTGGCAATGACTTGCACAATGGGTGAAGGGCGCAGGTGGGGTGGGGCGCAGAGGGGCGTACGGTGGGGTTGCAAAAGAACTGCGTGTAAATGCGATAAATAAACAAGTTCAATGCAACAACAACATCTACTAAAAACAACAACAATTAACAACAATAACAACAACAAATAATAACAAGCCATGGTGAAAAATGTGCCATCAGCATTTAAAAGCAATTTGCGAAGCTCGCGCCTTCGCATGCAAATTGCGCATACGCCCCGTCTATGCATAAGCATGTACCAACGTATGCAGGCCAAAAGCCGGCAACTGGCAACTGGCAACTGGCAGCCGGCACTTTGGCCAATTGGCTGTTGGCCAAAATGAGCTGAAGAAGAAGAAGTAGCAGAAAGACAGCAAACTAAAGACTGAAAGGCGGTTATCAATCAATTCGTAGCCACTGCAGTCGAGTGCAACAATTTGTTGCGCTTTGCCGCACAACATATGAGCGTGGTGAGGGGGGGAGTCTGCCACGCGGCATTAGCCATTAGCCACATTGGCCGTTACGTCGCCTGCACTTGACTCCATTAGCGGCCAGCCGGCTGGCCGACTGGCTGGAGGCGCCACAGCATGCGGTCACAGTTTGTTAATTCCGCGCCTGTACCGTTAATGATCGCAGCGCGCCAATTTAATTATGCATTTCATTATAAATTTTATTTTGCTTTATTAATTAATCGATTTGCTGGGCTTTCAATTTTGGGCAATTTTAAAAGCAAAACGCACTTCAGAGCACTTCAGACATGACATAAGTCTTAACAATGTATGGCCTGCACGACTTGCAAATACCCTAACAAAAAGGGCATTCGAAATTTGTTGTTGTCCAAAACAAAGCTTACTTGACAGTTTGTGCAGCACTGTAAACCAGCAGCGTGCACTGTATAACAGTTGCACAGCCATTGATTGCATGCGCATGTTCTAAGCGCGCGCTCTCTTCCTCTCTCGCTCTCTGTCCCACTCTCTCTCTCTTAGCTGTCAACTGCGCTCAGTGAGCAATAAGTGTCAGTGTGTCACACACGCACAGAGCAGTTACACATGTAAGAAGCACATT